CCACTGGTGTGTAGTTCTAAAAGAGCAGTTATCACTGTTCCCTGCCTTGTGGTGTCATTGGATGTGTTCCCTTCACTCCAACTGAGCTGTACAGTGAGTGACCCAGGCTGGGACTGACCCCTGCTGAGAAGTGCCAGGCGGTCTTGTCCCTCTGCCTGAAGCTCAGACGGTGCTCTCAAGCATAACTGATGTCTCGCTCATCAGATTCTCCTGGCCAACTTCCTGGCCCAGACGGAAGCCCTGATGAGGGGGAAATCAACGGAGGAGGCCCGAAAGGAGCTCCAGGCTGCAGGCAAGAGTCCAGAGGACCTTGAGAGGCTGCTGCCACATAAGGTCAGCACTTCTGCATTCGGCTTTGGGGTGCATGCTGGAGTTGGAGGTGTGAAGCTGTGGCACCAGGCAGGGGCTTGGGGCATGCCTGGCTTGTCCTACAGAGTGGGAGGGCCTGTCCTCACAGACCTGTACATCTCAGCCTCTGGGGCAGGGCGTGCTTCCCTTCAAGGGGTTGAGGGATCAGGACTCACTTGGAGACATTCCTTGGTGTTTTCTGCAGGTCTTTGAAGGAAATCGCCCAACCAACTCTATTGTGTTCACCAAGCTCACACCATTTATGCTTGGAGCCTTGGTCGGTGAGTGAGTAGGAGAAAGGTCCTGGCTTGGGGTAGGTTGGAATGGGCTTGCAGAACCCTGACGTGCCCTGTCTGTCCCCTCTGCAGCCATGTATGAGCACAAGATCTTCGTTCAGGGCATCATCTGGGACATCAACAGCTTTGACCAGTGGGGGTGAGTTGCTCACTTAGGGGAGGGCCAGGAATACCTTTGGGTCGGCTCAGGGATTTCAGTAGCAACGTTAGAGCCTTCCCCATACCACTCTAACCTTCTTTTCTTGGCAGAGTGGAGCTGGGAAAGCAGCTGGCTAAGAAAATTGAGCCTGAGCTTGATGGCAGTGCTCAAGTGACCTCTCACGATGCTTCCACCAACGGGCTTATCAACTTCATCAAGCAGCAGCGCGAGGCCAGAGTCCAATAAACTCATGCTCAGCCGCAGCCTCCTCTGTGATTCCTCTTTCTCTTCTGGTCCCTGCTCCCCAGAGCCGGCACTGCATGGTCCTGGACACCACCCAGAGCGCCCTCTGGTTGTGGGCTTGGACCACGAGCCCTTGGCGGGGAGGGCTGATCTCAAATTGCTACCCCCAGCCCCTCCATGTCTTTGCTCCCTCTGTGTTACAACTGGTTGAAGTGTTTTTGTGCAGCTGACTTTTCTGACCCATGTTCACGTTGTTCACATCCCAGGTAGAAAAATAAAGATGCCACAGAGGACGTTGTAGGCTCAGCCTCTGATTTTTTTCCTGCGATGGTGCTTTATGTAGCAGAAGGCAGGAGCGCTCAGTAGGACGCAGCCTGTGCCTCCGTGGACACTGAATACTAAGTGGTGAGTGGGTCTAGAGTGGAGCCAGGTGCTTTCAGAAGACAGTAGTGGGGTGGGAGCACAATCAGTCAAGAGGGCAACTTGGCCTGTGTCACCAAATCCTAAGACTGTTTTCCACTCCTCACCTCTGTGACTGGAGAAATTGGATACTCTGTTCACTCTATGGTTCTACAAACTGCATTGAGATGATGTTTGTTTGGGGTGAATTCCTGGACACGACCAAGGGTGACTGCCATCTCCTGGCAAGATGCTCAGGTAGTTCTTTTGCTTTAAAAGGCAGATAGATATTGGAAATAGGATTTTTTTTTTTTTTTTTTTGTTGAGTGTCGCTCTGTTGCCCAGACTGGAGTGCAGTGGTGCAATCTCGGCTCACTGCAACCTCCGCCTCCCGGGCAGGTTCAAGCTATTCTCCTGCCTCAGCCTCCTGAGTAGCTGGGATTACAGGGACACACCACCACGTCGAGATAATTTTTGTATTTTTAGTAGTGAAGGGGTTTTACCATGTTGGGCAGGCTGGTCTTGAACTCCTGACCTCAGGTGATCCGCCCACCTCAGCCTCCCGAAGTGCTGGAATTACAGGTGTGAGCCACCACGCCCGGCACAATTTTTTTTTTTTTTTTAAACAACTTATTTTTTTAGACAGGGTTTTGCTCCATTACCCAGCTTGGAGTGCAGTGGTGCCATCACAGCTCACTGTAACCCCAACCACTCGGGCTCGGGCAGTCCTCTTGCCTCAGCCGCCCAAGTAGTTGAGACTACAGGTTGTGCCACTATGCCCTGCTAGTTTTTTCATTTTTTGTAGAGACGGGTCTTGAATTTCAGGGCTTGAGAACCTCCCACCTCAGCCTCCCACAGTGTTGGGATTACCAGCCTATTCAGAATTTTTTTTCTTAGAGACACGGTCTTCATTGCCCAGGCTGGACTGCAGTGATGCAGTTATAGCTGACTGAAGCCTCAAATTCCCAGGCTAAGGTGATCTTCTCACCTCAGCCTTCCAAGTAGCTGGGTCCACAGATGCATGCCAGTGTAAGGTCTCTGAGCCCAAGCTAAGCCATCATATCCCTTGTGACCAGATGGCCTGAAGCAACTGAAGATCCATAAAAGAAGTGAAAATAGCCTTAACTGATGACATTCCACCATTGTAATTTGTTTCTGCCCCACCCTAACCGATCAATGTACTTTGTAATCTCCCCCACCCTTAAGAAGGTTCTTTGTAATTCTCCCCCCACCTTGAGAATGTACTTTGTGAGATCCACCCCCTGCCCGCAAACATTGCTCCTACCTCCACTGCCTATCCCCAAACCTCTAAGAACTAATGATAATCCACCACCCTTTGCTGACTGTTTACGGACTCAGCCTGCCTGCACCCAGGTGAAATAAACAGCCATGTTGCTCACACAAAGCCTGTTTGGGGGTCTTTTCACACAGACACGTGAGACAGCCAGTACACCCCGCTCATTTTTAAATTTTTGTAGATCAGTGTACTGTTGTTAAAAAAAAAAAAGTAAGAAGAATAGAAAATAAATTTTTGTAGTGATAGGGTCCCACTGAGGCAGGAGAATAGGGTCTAGAGACAAGGGAGCGTTCACTTCAGCCTCTGATTGGTGGCAGGCCAAGTCTTTATTTACATAGGGTGTAACCAAATAGGAAACCTCTAAAGGGTACTTAAACCCCAGATTTTCTAAACAGGGCACTTGCTTGAGCCTCCTCCTGCTTTGTGGAGTGTACTTTCGCTTCAATAAATCTGTGCTTTTGTTCCTTCTTTTGTTGCTTTTTTGTGTGTTTTGTCCACCTCTCTGTTCAGCATTCCAAGAACCTGGACAACCTGTAGTCAAGACCCTGCCCTGGTGACACCACTGTGTTGCCCAGGCTTATCTTGAACTCCTGGGCTCAAGTGATCCTCCTGCCTTGGCCTCCCAAAGTGTTGGGATTACAGGTGCAAGCCACCGTGCCCAGCATCATAGGGCCTTTTACAGCTGTCAGGTTGAAGTGTGATAAAACAGGATTAAACAGGTTGCGTCTCCAGGTCCTTGCTGGGCTAAAGCCGAACATCACAAAGGCTGGTGCTTCCTCCTTTGAGGTGTAGATCCTTGAAAACATACGTTTCCTTTGCATACCATGTTATGAATCCTAAAATAATGTTTTTGCAGCCTGCATTTTAAAAAAGTTAGGTTTATTGGGGTATAATTTACATATAGTAAGATTCACCTTTCTTTGCTATACAGTTCTGTTTTCACAAGTGTATATACAGTCTTATAACCATTACAGACAAGATATACAGCATTTTCCTTACCCTCAAAAGTTCCTGACACTCTTGTGGTCCAGTCCTACTCCCTCATCCCAATTCCTGACTACCATTGAACTGATCTTTTTTCCCCTGAAGTTCTGCTTTGACCAGAACGGCACCTTTTGTGTCTGGCTTCTTCCCATGATGCTTTTGAAATTCACCCACGTTGTGCTGCAGGAATTTAAAAAACTGTATTGTGTGGCTGGGCGCGGTGGCTCACACCTGTAATACTAATACTTTGGGAGGCCAAGGTGGGCAGATCACCTGAGGTTGGGAGTTCAAAGACAGCCTGATCAATATGGAGAAACCCTGTCTCTATTAAAAATACAAAGTTAGCCGGGCGTGGTGGCACATGCCTGTAATCTCAGCTACTTGGGAGGCTAAGGCAGAAGAAGGGCTTGAACCTGGGAGGCAGAGGTTGCGGTGAACTGGGATCATGCCACTGCACTCCAGCCTGGGCAACAAGAGAGAAACTCCGTCTCAAAAAAAAAAAAGCTGGGCGCCAGGCGTGGTGGTGGGCACCTGTAATCCTAATCCAGCTACTTGGGGGGCTGAGGCAGGAGAATCGCTTGAACCTGGGAGGCAGAGGTTGCAGTGAGATGGTGCAACTGCACTCCAGCCTGGGCGACCCAGCGAGACTGTCTCAAAAACAAAACAAAAACAAAAACTCCGAAAAATCTCAAACATATAAAACCCAAATAGAATAAATCTCCATGTGCCTGGCACCAAATTTCAACAATTATCAATTCATGGCCAATCTTACTGTATCTACATCCCACTTTAATTATGTAGTAGCAAATCCCAGATATTTCATCTATAAGCATTTTGGTGTGTTTCTCTAAAAATTAAAAACTTCATTTCTTCTTGTTATTGATAATACCATTATCCCACCTAAAATTTTTATTTCCCGGGAAGGCTTTTTGGAGCCTGGGCCCAGTGGCTCACACCTGTAATCACAACACTTTGGGAGGCAGAGGCGGGAGGATCACTTGAACCCAGGAGCCAGGAGTTCAAGACCAGTGTGGGCAATATAGCAAGTGCTCGCTCAAGAAAAAAAGGAAAAAAAAAAGTTAGCTTTTTGGCAAAACTACTTCCTAGTAGATGGTGTGTACTTCCTATTACAGCGTATTAAGGGGCACATAATGCCAGCAGCGCCTGTGCGGCTCTTGGACCTGAGTGCACGCGCCTTAAAGCCACGCCTCCGCATCGGATCCTGGTAAGGGGGCGGGGCTATCATGTCAGTGTATGCGTTGCGCGTGCGCGGACACGCGCGCCCGCTCGGCTGCCGTAGTTCGCGTTTTCACCTGGTCGCCAGGCAGCCATGGCGGCCGTTCTGAAGCCGGTGCTGCTGGGACTTCGAGATGCGCCGGTGCACGGCAGCCCCACAGGGCCGGACGCCTGGACTGCTAGCAAGCTGGGCGGCATTCCGGTGAGGGCGGGTGCCGGAGCTGGGGTTGATGGGTGGTGGCGAAGGGTGCGGAGGGAGTGGGCAAGGTCCCAGGGGGAGTTGGAGTCTGAGCGCCTCCTCTGTCCCCTCAGGACACTCTGCCCACCATGGCTGCGCCCAGGCCCGTGTGTCAGCGCTGCGGGCAGCCGCTCGCCCTGATCGTGCAGGTGTACTGCCCGCTGGAAGGCTCCCCGTTTCACCGTCTGCTGCACGTGTTCGCGTGCGCCTGCCCCGGCTGCAGCACCGGCGGTGCGCGCAGGTAGGCGGGGAAGTCCCAGAGCTGCTCCTGGGGTGTCCTTTCCAGCGGGCTGGGGCGGGCCGTCGGGCTGGAGTAGGGGTGTAGCCCTCACGGCCCTTTGTCTTCACCCCGAAGCTGGAAGGTGTTCCGCTCCCAGTGCCTGCAGGTTCCAGAGAGAGAGGCGCAGGACGCTCAGGTAAAGGTTGTGGTTGGCATGTTACTTTTTTTCTGTCATTTGAGGATGTTATCCAGAGTATAGTTTGGGACAGACTTTAAAGCCGTGTTCTTTGAAGTACATTGGAGTGTTTTTTGCTTTTCTGCAGAACCACAGAATGCTATTTTCTTGAGGTTTTGTGAGGGTTTTTTTTTCTTCTATTTTACTTTATTTTTATTTTCTAACTCCTTTGTTAAAAGGAGATGGCGGCCCCGCATGGTGACTTACTCCTGTGATCCCACCATTTTTTGAGAGGCTGAGGTGGGAGGATTGCTTGAGCTCAGAAGTTGGAGACCAGGCCGGGCGCAGTGGCTCACGCCTGTAATCCCAGCACTTTGGGAGGCCGAGGCGGGCGGACCATCAGAGGTCAGAAGTTCGAGACCAGCCTGGCCAACATGACGAAACCTCGTCTCTTTTAAAAACAAAAACAAAAAATTAGCCGGGCATCGTGGCAGGCACCTGTAATCCCAGCTACAAGGGAGGTTGAGGCAGGAGAATCGCTTGAACCCGGGAGGTGGAGATTGCAGTGAGCTGAGATCATGCCACTGCAATCCAGCCTGAATGACAGACTCCGTATAAAAAAAAAAGATGTTGGGAGAGCAGTCTGGGCAACATAGCAAAACGTCCTCTCTATAAAAAGTAAAAAAAAAAAAAAATTAACCGGGCATGATGGCCGCGCAACTGTAGTGCCAGCTGCTCAGGCGGCTGAGGTGGGAGGATTGCTTGAGTCCAGGAGGTTGAGGCTGCAGTGACCTACACTTGTGTCACTGCCTGGGTGGCAAAGGCAGACCTTCTCCCCTCCCAAAAAAAAGAGAGCGAGATGGAGACTTCCTCCTGGATGTCTTCAACATTTTTTTTTAACTGTAAATTGATAGTTTATAATAATGTATAAATTTATGAGGTATAAAGTGATGGTTATGATTCATGAATATCATGTGGAATAATTAAATGAAGCCAGTTAATGCATTCATCACCTCAGATACTTAACGTCTTGTGAGAACATTTGAAATTTCCTCTAGCAATTTGGAAATACAAAATACTTTATTTTTATTTTTTTTGAGATGGAGTCTTGCTCTGTTGCCCAGGCTGGAATGCAGTGGTGCCATCTCTGCTCACTGCAAGCTCCATCTCCTGGGTTTCAAGCAATTCTCCTGCCTCAGCCTCCCAAGTAGCTGGGATTATGGGCGCCCGCCACCACGGCCAGCTAATTGGTTTTTTTTTTTTTTTTTGAATTTTTAGTAGAGACAGGGTTTCACCATGTAAGTCAGGATGGTCTCTATCTCCTGACCTCGTCATCTACCCGCCTCGGCCTCCCAAAGTGCTGGGATTACAGGCTTGAACTCCCATGCCCAGCCACAATACTGTATTATTAACTACATTCAAGCTGTGCAGTAGAACTTAAAAAAACCCACATTCCTCCTGAATAACTGAGGTTTTGTATTCTTTGACCATCATCTCCTTATTCTTTCCACTCTAGGTTTCTTTCTTTTTTTTTTTTTTGAGACCAAGTTTCACTCTTGTTGCCCAGGCTGGAGTGCAATGGCACAATCTCGGCTCACTGCAACCTCCACCTCTTGGATTCAAGGGATTCTCCTGCCTCAGCCTCCCAAGTAGCTGGGATTACAGGCGCTTACCACCACACCTAGCTAATTTTTGTATTTTTAGTAGAGACGGGGTTTCACCATGTTGGCCAGGCTGGTCTCGAACTCCTGACCTCAGGTGACCCACCTTCGTCGGCCTCCCAAAGTGCTGAGATTACAGGCATGAGCCACCATGCCCCGCTCACTCCAGATTTTTTTTGTTTTTTTTTGTTTTTTTTTTTTTTGAGATGGAGTTTTGCTCTTTCGCCAGGCCAGAGTGCAATGGCACGATCTCGGCTCACTGCAGCCTCAGCCTCCCGGGTTCAAGCGATTCTCCTGCCTCAGCCTCCTGAGTATCTGGGACTACAGGCACACACTACCACACCCAGCTAATTTTTGTATTTTCAGTAGAGACGGGGTTTCACCATGTAGCCAGGATGGTCGATCTCTTTACCTCGTGATCCGCCTGCCTCCGCCTCCTAAGGGCTGGGATTACAGGCGTGAGCCACCGCACCCGGCCACTCCACATTTCTTTAACCACCATTCTACTCTACTTTGAGGTTAATTGTTTTAGATTCCAGATGTAAGTGAATACATGCAGCATTTGTCTTTGTGTCTGGCTTATTTCACTTAGCAAAATGTTCTCCAGTTCTATCCATGTTGTCACAAACGACAGAACTTCCTTTTTTTTTTTTTTTAAGGGTGAAGAATATTCCATTGTATATATAGTAGTTTTTTCAAACTTACACTGAAGGTCTTGAGACACAGTTTACTGATTTTCCTGTTTGGGAATATATATGGGGATGTACATATATGTGGTTGTATGTGATAACATATATGCCTTTATAGTAAATATACTTTATGAGGTATATATATGTTTTAACACATTTCATAAGATGAAATCTGAATTTATTGAAAAGGCAGGCAAGTTGGTAGCTGCAGAACAAAATTTAGCCTCCTTTGACTGTAAATGTGTCTTTATATATACACAGTTCTTTTTTCTTTTCTTTTCTTTCTTTTTTTTTTTTTTGAGATGGGGTTTCATTCTGGTCACCCAGGCTGGAATGCAGTAGCATGATCTTTGCCTCTTGGGCTCAAGCCATTCTCCCACCTCAGCCTCCTGAGTAGATGGGATTACAGGCACTTGCCACCATGCCCAGCTAACTTTTTTATGTTTTGTAGAGATGGGGTTTTGTCATGTTGCCCAGGCTGGTCTTGAACTCCTGGACTCAAACAGTCCACCCACCTCAGCCTCCCAAAATGCTAGAATTACAGGCGTGAGACACTGGGCCCGGCCTGCACCCAGTTCTTGATGTTTGCTAGGCATACTACTAGCAGTACTCGAATAAAATGTTGAAGACAGTGCCTATATTTGTCAGTGTTCAAGTGCAGATAATTAGAAAAGTACTGTTTTTTTGTTTGTTTTTGTTTTTGAGACCGAGTCTCACTCTGTCTCCCAGGCTGTAGTGCAGTGGCGTGATCTCAGCTCACTGAAAACTCCGCCTCCTGGATTCAAGCTATTCTCCTGCCTCAGCCTCCCGAGTAGCTGGGATTGCAGGCACGTGCAACCACGCCTGGCTTTTAAGCTGAGACAGACTTAGCACAGGAGTCAGGTTTTTAGTAAGTGGGTAGGCTGAAGGAGGAGGCTCCAGGAATGCCCTCCAGAATCACACCTGAGAACTGTCCCTGAAGGAGCTGCTATGCCACCTCTCCTGCTGTCAGGAAGCTTAAGTGTGATCTGGTGAACTAGACGCTGTCTTCACCACAGAACTGTTGGCTCTAAAACCTTGTTCTGTGTATGTCTACACTCTGACTGCCTTTTGCTACGTGGTCTGTCTTTCTACTTCACTCTGTCTCAAGTTCATGTCTCTCTCTAGTAGACCTGATTAGCAGACACCTAATCATATCTGAAACCCTAGGTGCTAAGGAGTCTGAAACCCTAGGTGCTAAGGAGTCTGGGAAATGTAGTTCTTTCTTTTCAGTTCCTGCAATACATGAAGCACAACAGAAAGATATTGGAACAGATGGTTGAATAAACCATGTACTATATCTGTCACACTCGCCCCATGAAGGGGTGGCCTGCCCCTCCACACCTGTGGGCATTTCTCGTTAGGTGGAACGAGAGACTTGAAAAAAGAAATGAGAGACAGAGACATAGTATAGAGAAAGAAAAAGAGGGCCCAGGGGACCAGCGCTCAGCATACAGAGGACCCACGGCAGCACTGGTCTCTGAGTTCCCTTAGTATGATCCCCTGACCTCGTGATCCGCCCGTCTCGGCCTCCCAAAGTGCTGGGATTACAGGCTTGAGCCACCGCCCCGGCCATCTTTACCATTCTTAAAGATAAGGGAGTGGCAGGACAAATAGATCATTGTAGGGAGAAAATCAGCAGTAAGACATTTGAACAAAGATCCCCGTGACATGAATAAGTTTAAAGAAAAATGCTATGCCTTGATATGCATATGCAAACATCTCCACAAACCTTTTAGCAGCATTGCGCCAGCAAGTCCCACCTTTTGCCGAAAGGCGGTTTTCTCCTATCTCAGTAAACAGAGCATGTGCTTTTCTCTTACTTTAGATTAAGAGAATGGTGATGATTTTTAACCATCAAGCTGCCTTCAGACACTTGTTTAACAAAGCACATCCTGCACAGTCCAAAATCCTTTAAACCTTGAGTCACCATAGCACATGTCTCTTGCAAAGACAAGGTTGGGGGTAGGGTCACAGATTACCAGCATCTCAAATACAGAACAAAATGGAATCTCTTATGTCTGCTTCCTTCTTTTTTTTTTTCTTTTTTGAGACGGAGTCTCGCTCTGTCGCCCAGGCTGGAGTGCAGTGGCGCGATCCTGGCTCACTGCAAGTTCCCCCGCCTCCCGGGTTTACGCCATTCTCCTGCCTCAGCCTCCCGAGTAGCTGGGACTACAGGCGCCCGCCACCTCGCCCGGCTAACTTTTTTGTATTTTTAGTAGAGACAGGGTTTCACCGTGTTCGCCAGGATGGTCTTGATCTCCTGACCTCGTGATTCGCCCGTCTCGGCCTCCCAAAGTGCTGGGATTACAGGCTTGAGCCACCACGCCCGGCCGTCTGCTTCCTTCTATATAGACACAGTAACAGGCTGATCTCTCTTTCTTTTCCCCACACCCTGAAAAGGAAAGACAAGTATTTTAAGTTTCCTTCAACATACTTTTGAGTACATAAAGTCTAGAAAGTTTGATTGGCGTGTGCTGAAACTAGGCCTCATAAAACTTAAAAAAATTAGCACCAGGTGGCCCTAGATAGGGTCCCACCCTGCCTCGATAGGGTCCCACTCAGATAGGGTCCCACCCTGCCAATTCCGGGAAACAACCTCATGGGGTCCCACCCTGCCAATTCCGGGGGTCCCACCTTGCCTCGAAGTTCCCAGAATTAACAACTCCTGGAAAGGACCTCATAAGGTCCTGCTCTAACCAATTAGAACAAGACACCTTGCTCAGGCCATAGCTAGACCCAATTATTTTGCGCCTTAAGCTTTGTTTGAATTTCGCGCCATAAGCTGTGTTTGAACTTGTGTTTGCCTATATAAACAGCACGTAACAAGCAGTCGGGGTCCCAGGGCCAATTTAGAGCTTGGGACCCTAGCGCGCTAGTAATAAATAACTCTCTGCTGTGAAACTCGTGTCGGTGATCCTTCGCGGCGACCCCTGCCCAGGAGGGAATCGACAGTTCGGTTCCTACAGTGCCAGAGGGGAAGGGCTGGTGTGAAGGCTCCCTCTGGAAGGCACAGGGATGGGTGGCTGGAACCGAAGTAATAGAATAAACCTCCCAAATATGCTTGGACCTCATTTACTGAATATTTTTCCAGACACAGGAAAACAGCCTTGCAGCTGAGGACTGGTGTGAAGGTGCTGATGACTGGGGAAGTGACACTGAGGAGGCGCCTTCACCACAGCTTACCTTGGATTTTGGGAATGATGCCAGCAGTGCCAAAGACGTAGACTGGACTGCTCAGCTCCAAGACCTCCGCCTGCAGGATGCTGTCCTGGGTGCTGCCCATCTTGTGCCTCCTGGGGAGCAGACCACCTTGTCTCCTGGGCTGCCGCTATTCCTGCCCTACTACATCTGTGTTGCAGACGAGGATGAATACATAGACTTTGTCAACCTGGATCATGCCCACAGCCTTCTGAGGGACTATCAGCAGAGAGAAGGCATTGCCATGGATCAGTTGCTTTCCCAAAGGTGAGGATGTGTGCTCCTGAGGTTGACAGGTGCTGGATTGGGAAGCAGCCACAGGAGTTACCCTTCAGTTTCACCACAGGACCTGGGGAAACTTTCAGGCAGAACTTGTATGTAGGACCTTTTCACTTTACTTCCTTATTAGCCAACTTGAGTTATCTTGAAAACCCTGCTCTATTTATAACTCCCGTTAAGACAGTGAACAAAGATGAACAAACAGAAGTTAGAGATGGCAAGTATTTATAGAAGATGCGTTCACTGACTCTAACTTTCTTTTATATTTCTAATATGTCTTTATAGCAGAGACAGGCAAGTTAGAAAACTGCCATTTGATCTGGGATAATAAGATTGGGGTGAAAAAATGGAAAAAGGAAAAGAAAAATGCCATTCGTTTATTGACTCTTGGCTGTGGCTCCAGAACTGGCCCAGGACCTCGGAGATGCTTTCAGATCCTCAATTCTGTAAAGTGAGAGTGATAGTGATATCTCTGTTCTCTGTTTCATCACATGATTTTGAGAGTCAAACAAGAGAGTAGATCTTGAAAGCCTTTATAAACCAAAGCTCTCTAAAGAAGTAAGAATGATCATTTTTGCTTATTGATTGATTGAGAGACAGGGTCTCACTCTGTCACCCACGCTGGAGTTAATTGCTGTGATCACAGCTCACGCAGCCTTGAACTCCTGGGCTCAGGCAGTCTACCTTAGCTTCCCAAGTAGCTGGGAGTACGGGTGCACGCCACCATGTCTGACTAATTAAAAATTTTTTTTTTGGAGTTTCACTGTTGTTGCCCAGGCTAGAGTACAATGGCACGAGCTCGGCTCACTGCAACCTCTGCCTCTTGGGTTTAAGTGATTTTCCTACCTCAGCCTCCCGAGTAGCTGGGATTACAGCCATGTGCCACCATGCCCAGCTAATTTTTGTATTTTTAGTAGAGATGGGGTTTCACTATGTTGGTCAGACTGGTCTCAAACTCCTGACCTCAGGTGATCCACCCACCTTAGCCTCCCAAAGTGCTGGGATTACAGGTGTGAGCCATTGCGCCTGGACTAAAAATTTTTTTTAGCCACTGCACCCAGCATTTGTTACTATTAGAATAAAAAAATTACAATAGAATGTTTGGAGAAATGGCCTGGTTCTTTACCAGAACTGTTTCATTTGTAGGCTTTTTCAGAATAATGATGAAGGGGAGTGCATGAAGACATGTTGGTGTTTGAAAATAACGCTTAATAGAACTGATGGTTATAAGGACTTTTAATTTTATATTTATTTATTTATTTATTTATTTATTTATTTATTTATTTATTTTTTGTGAGATGGACTCTCACTCTGTTGCCAGGCTGGAGTGCAGTGGTGCGATCCTGGCTCACTCCAACCTCCACCTCCCGGGTTCCAGCAATTTTCCTCCCTCAGCCTCCCAAGTATTTGAGACTACAGGTGCGCGCCACCACACCCAGCTAATTTCTGTATTATTAGTAGAGACAGGGTTTCATCATGTTGGCCAGGATGGTCTCAATCTCTTGATGATGTGATCTGCCTGCCTCGGCCTCCCAAAGTGCTGAGATTACAGGTGTGAGCCACTGCGCCTGGCAAGATTTTTTATTTTTTAATTTCTTAAGTTTTTATGTATTTGCTTATTTTTGGTGGGTTTCTTCTAGAGTATTTGTCTTTTTTTTTTTTTTTAGAGATGGAAACTTGCTTTGTTTCCCAGGCTGAACTGCAGTGGTGTGGTGTGGTCATGGCTTTTTTTTTTTTTTTTGAGACAATCTTGCTCTGTGCCCAGGCTGGAGTTGCAGTAGCACGTTCTCGGCTCACTGCAACCTCTGCCTTGCAGGCTTAAGCAATTCTCATGCCTCAGCCTCTCAAGTAGTACTGGAACCACAGGCGTGTGCCCACTTCACCCAGCTAATTTTGCGTATTTCCTTTTTAGGTAGGAGATCGGCCCTTTTGCCATATTGCCTCAGGCCTTCTGAAGTTCTGCGCCCCAGTTGACCACGTCCACCCTCCACCTCTCCAACGTGGCCTGGGGATTACAGGTGTTACCACCGCCTCAGCCTGCTCATGGCTTACTGTAGCGCTCAAACTCCCTGCCTCAAGGGATCCCTCTACAGCCTCACTTCCCCCTAGCTGGGACCGACAGGTGTGTGCCCACCAAACTCAGCTAATTTAAAAAAAATTCTTTTTTTTTTTTTTTTGAATGGGAGTCTCGCTCTATCGCCCAGGCTGGAGGTGCAGTGGTGCGATCCTCAGCCTCATTCAAGCTCTGCCTCCTGGTCTTCACCGCCAATTCTCCTGCCTCAAGCCTCCTGAGTAGCCGGGACTACAGGCACTCGCCACCTGCCTGGCTAATTTTTTGTAGTTTTGGGTAGAGGACGGAGTTTCACCCGTGGTTACACAGGATGGTCTTGCTCTCCTGACTCGTGGATCCAACCGCCTCAGCCCTCCCAAAATGCTGAGGCATTACAGGCGCTGAGCCACGGCGCCAGCCAATTTTAATTTTTTATTTTTTTGAGACAGAGTCTCACTTTGTCCCCAGCGGCTGGAAAGTACAGTGGGCGTGATAACGGCTCACCTGCACACTCCAGCTCACCAGGGTTCAAGTGACCCTCCTGGCCTCAGCCTCCCCAATAGGCTGGGATTCACAGGTACCCACCACATACTCGGCTAATTTTATATTTTTTAGTATAGAGATGGGCTTTACCATGTTGGCCAGGCTGGTCCCTCAAACTCCTAACTCAAGTGACCCATTCTCCTGGCTCCCAAAGTGCTGGGATCCAGGCCTGAGCCACTGCACCAGCCGAAAAGAAAAAAAAATATATATATATATGCCCAGGATGGTCTCGACTCTTTTTTTTTTTTTTTTTTTTTTTGAGACGTAGTCTCGCTTGTGTCACCCAGGCTGGAGTGCAGTGCCGGATCTCAGCTCATTGCAAGCTCCGCCTCCTGGTTTTTACGCCATTCTCCTGCCTCAGCCTCTCCCGAATAGCTGGGACTACAGCGGCCACAACCTCCCCGGCTAGTTTTTTGTATTTTTTAGTAGAGAACGGGTTTCACTGTGTTAGCCGGATGGTTCGAACCCTGACCTCGTGATCCGCCCGTCTCGGCCTCCCAAAGTGCTGGGATTACAGGCTTGAGCCACCGCGCCCGGCCTGGTCTTGATCTTTTGACCTTGTGATCCACCCTCCTTGGCCTTCCAGTGTTGAGATTACAGGTGTGAGCCACTGTGCCCTGCGATTTTTTAAATTGTAAGTAATTACCCAAGAGTTGAAAATAGCTTGGGAGAAGGGTGGGGCAGGGGACTATAGAGCTACATGTACACAATTTAAATATCAAAAATATTTACTTGACAGTTTTTGGCTGAATGCGGTGGCTCACGCCTATAATCCCAGCACTTTGGGAGGCCGAGACGGATCACTTGAGGTCAGGAGTTGGAGACCAGCCTGGCCAACATGGCGAAACCTTGTCTTTACTAAAAATACAAAAATTAGCCGGACGTGTGTTGGTGCACACTTGTAATCCCAGCTACTCGGGAGTCTGAGGCAGGAGAATCGCTTGAACCCAAGAGGTGGAGTGAGCAGTGAGCCAAGGTGCAGTGAGCCAAGATTGCACCATTGCACTCAGCCTGGGTGACACAGGGAGACTCCTTCTCAAAAAAAAAAAAAAAATTACTTGACAGTTTTACAGTTTTTTACTTTGACAGTTTTTTTTTTCTTTTTCTTTTTGAGACAGGGCCTCACACTGTTACCCAGGCTGTAGTGCAATGGTGTGCTCACGGCTCACCACAGCCTCACCTCTGGAATAGCTGGGACCACAGGTGCACACCACCATGCCCAGCTAATTTTTGTATTTTTTTGTAGAGACGAGGTTCTGCCAGGTTGCCCAGGATGGTTTTGAACTCCTGAGCTCAAGTGATCCCCCTGCCTTGGGCTCCCAAAGTGCTGGGATTACAAGCGTGAGCCCACTGCGCTGACCTGATAAATTAAAAAAAATTTTTTTTTGAGACAGAGGTTCACTCTTGTTGCCCAGGCGGGAGTGCAATGGTGCGATCTTGACTCACTGCAACCTCCACCTCCCGAGTTCAAGTGATTCTCCTGCCTCAGCCTCCCAAGTAGCTGGGATCACAGGTGCCCGCAACCACACCCGGCTAATTTTTTGTATTTTTATCAGAGATGGGGTTTCAAGATGTTGGCCAGGCTGGTTTCGAACTCCTGACCTCAGGTGATCCGCTCACCTCGGCCTCCCAAAGTGCTGGGATTACAGGCATGACTTTTTTTTTTTTTTTTTTTTTGATACGGAATCTCACTCTGTCACCAGGCTGGAGTACAGTGTTGTGATCTCGGATCACTGCAACCTCCACTTTCCGGGTTCAAGCGATTTCCTCTGCCTCAGCCTCCTGAGTAGCTGGGACTACAGGCGTGCGCCACCACATCCAGCCAACTTTTTGTGTTTTTTAGTAGAGATGGGGTTCCACCATGTTGGCCAGGATGGTCTCGATCTCCTGACCTTGTGATCTGCCTGCTTTGGCCTCCCAAAGTGCTGGGATTACAGGCGTTAGCCACCGCACCTGGCCTGATAAATTTTTTTAAAAGAAAATTATCTTGTTTCCTCTTGCAAATGCTGTAATTTTCTGGATATAGACATTCACAAGTGTTTTCTGCTTCTGTTTTTAGCCTTTCTAATGATGGTGATGAAAAATACGAGAAAACCGTAATTAAAAGTGGAGATCAGACGTTTTACAAATTCATGAAGCGAATTGCTGCTTGTCAGGAGCAGATTTTGAGGTAAAAAAAGGCACAGTTCATTTTATTGTTTTCCTTGATTATAAAGGTAATACATGTTAGTTTGGAAAACACAGGAAAATATGAGAAAAGCAAAACCTACAGTATTCCCCAAATCAAGAGAGAACCTAATACCCGCTTTATAGGACCATATACCTACGTTATAGGATGTGTAGGAGGATTCAGTTGTGTAGAAGGATTCAGTAAGGTAAAGCGCACTCATTTGTCTAACAAATACTTACAGAGTCTATTCTGCATGCCAGGTGCTGCTATTGGTAGGTGCTGCAGATATAGCAGGAAATGGCATAGCAGGAAATGGCACAGACGAAGTCCGTGTTCTCATAGCCTTTATTATTATTATTAATTTAATTTTTTTTTTCTTTGAGAGGGAGTCATGCTCTGTCGCCAGGCTGGAGTGCAGTGGTGCAATCTGGGAACACTGCAATCTCCACCTCCCGGGTTTAAGCAATTCTCCTGCCTCAGCCTCCTGAGTAGCTGGGATTACAGGTGCCCGCCACCATGCCCGGCTAGTTTTTTTTTTTTTTTTTTTTTTTTGTATTTTAGTAGAGACGGGGTTTCACCACGTTGGCCAGACTGGTCTCGAACTGCTGGCCTCATGTATTCTGCCCGCCTCGGCCTCCCAAAGTTCTGAGATACAAGTGTGAGCCACCACGCCTGGCTTTAATTTTTTTGTTGTTGTTTTTTGACCGGGTCTTGCTCTGTTACTCAGGCTTGAGTGCAGTGGTGTGATCAATTATAGCTCAGTGCACCCTCCTGGGCTCAAGTGACCTTCCCACCTCAGCCTCCCAAGTAGCTGGGACTACAGGCACATGCTACCACGCCCAGCTAATTTTTGTATATTTTTTTAGAAATGGTATTTCACCATGTTGGCCAGGCTGGTTCCAAACTTCTGAGCTCAAGCCATCCATCTGCTTTGGCCTCTCAGAGTTTGTTCTAGGATTACAGGCATGAGCCCCTGTGCCTGGACTATTATTATTATTAATTTTTTTTTTTTTTTTTTTTTAGAGAGAGGGTCTCAGTCTGTTGCCCACCCTGGAGTGCAGTGGCGTGATCATTGCTTACTGTAACCGTTACCTCTTGGGCTCAAGCCCAAGATCCTCCTAAGTATCTAGAACTACAGGTGTGTGCCACCGTGTGTGGCTAATTTTTAAAAAAATGTATTTTGTAGAGATGGGATCTGATCATGTTGCTCAGTATGCTCTCAAACTCCTGGCCTCAAGTGATCCTCCTGCCACGGCCTTCCAAAGTGCTGGGATTACTGGCGTCAGCCACAACCCCTGGCTCATATATTTATTTTTATTTTTTAATTTATTTTTTATTTTTCTGGGACGGAGTCTCGCTCTGCCACCTAGGCTGGAGTGCAGTGGCGTGATCCTGGCTCACTGCAACCTCTGCCTCCTGGGTTTAAAAGAGTCTCCTGCATCAGCCTCCTGAGTATAGGATTACAGCCACCACACCCGACTACTTTTTGTATTTTTAGTAGAGACGGAGTTTCACCATGTTGGTCAGACTGGTATTGAACTCCTGACTTCAAATGATCTGCCCGCCTCAGCCTTCCAAAGTGCTGGGATTACAGGTTTGAGCCACTGCGTCCTGCCCCTGGTCCATATATTTTATTTTCTAGAGTGGGAGATTAAAAAACAAACCTGTATGGGCCGGGTGTGGTGGCTTACGCCTGTAATCCCAGCACCTTGGGAGGCCAAGGAGGGTGGATCATGCGGTCAGGAGATCGAGACCATCCTGGCTAACATGCTGAAACCCTGGCTAACATGCTGAAACCCCGTCTCTACTAAAAATACAAAAAAAAAATTAGGCGGGCGAGGTGGTGGACACCTGTAGTCCCAGCTACTCAGGAGGCTGAGGCAGGAGAATGGCGTGAACCCAGGAGGCGGAGCTTGCAGTGAGCCGAGATTGCGCCACTGAACTCCAGCCTGGGCAACAGAGCGAGACTCCGTCTCAAAAAAAAAAAACCTGTGTGATTTCCATAAGTGATAAATGAGGAAAAAATAGAGCTATTTTAGGTAGGCTATCAGGAAGGCCTCAGAGGAAATGACATACCCAGCAGGTATAGTTTATAAAAATAGCAGGTATAGTTTATAAAAATAGTAAAAACAGGTCCAGACAAAGTGGGCAGAATTAGCTCAAATGGCCTTTTTCTCCGATACGTACCACAGTGAACCTAAAAGCTAAAAATTAGCCCAAATAAAACAGTAAATATTAAAAAAAGAAGTTCCGTTTTATCAGCATTGAAAAAAGGAAAAGGGCTTAGTACTATAAAACTCAAAGTGATAGCCCAGGATATAATATCAGTAAATGTCTAATAGAGTTCTTGAGTGTTTCACATACATTTATTCACTTATGTAACTAATTTAGTCTTTGCAGAGAAAGGTACAGAAATTTCTGGCATGGTTAAGTGCAAGTTCTAATCCCACAGGCCTTTTCTCTCACCTGCGTAAAATATACTGATGAGTCCACAAATAATTTTCTTTTTTTGGAAACGGAGTCTGTCTCTGTCCCCCAGGCTGGAGTGCAGTGGTATGATCTCAGCTCACTGCAACCTCCATCTTCTGGGTTCAAGCAGTTCTGCTGTCTCAGCCTCTTGAATAGCTGGGACTACAGGCATGTGCCACCATGCCTGGCTAATTTTTGTATTTTTAGTAGACATGAGAGTTCACCGTGTTGGCCAGCATGGTCTCGAACTCCTGACCTCTGGTGATCCACCCACCTCAGCCTCCCAAAGTGCTGGGATGACAGACATGAGCCACCGCACCTGACCTAAGAATTTTCACTTAATAATGTCTGGAAGGAAGCACACAGGAGGAGAGTTTGCATGTCCTAATGTGGAGGATGGTGGACCTCCTCCACCATGTTGGCTGAAGAACTGGGTGTGGTGGGGAGGTGGTGTAGGAATTGGAGATTGCCTCTCAGAAGCAACATTCCTTTGTTCCATGATGAGTCAGAGCAATGATTGGAAAGTTAAGGGCAATTTCGCCTCCACTGGAGTGGGATCTTTCTCAACATACAGTATTTTACACTGTCTCAGAGGAAAAAACAAAGCCCAGGTGTTTTAATAAAGATTGCATCTAGTCCCAGAAGAACTATCTCCTCGCCCCAGTTCCCTCTTTTACTACCTACAGAAATGCAGAGGAAATGGGCAGTACTCCTCGAGAGGGGAAAACAGGCCTCATATGAGATGGACAGGAAATCAATGAGAACCTCTGCGGACATTTCAGAACAAATAGATGGTCTAAACTGAGTTGCACCTTTTAGGCGTGAGCTAGATGAAAAATAGCATACCACCCAGGTAATCATACTGTGGCAAGAATAGTTAAGGAAATGAAGAGCACATACAAAAAGCTCAAGAACCAAGTCTGCTAGAAAATATCCAGCTGGGCTCGGTGGCTCACACTGGTAATCCCAACACTTTGGGAGGCCAAGGCGGGTGGATCATGAGGTCAGTAGATCGAGACCATTCTAGCCAACCTGGTGAAACCCTGTCTCTACTAAAAATACAAAAATTAGCTGGGCATGGTGGTGGGCGCCTATAGTCCCAGTTACTCAGGAGGCTAAGGCAGGAGAATCACTTGAACCTGGGAGGCGGAGGTTGCAGTGAGCTGAGATCGTGCCACTGCACTCCAGCCTGGGTGACAGTGAGACTCTGTCTCAAAAAATAAAATAAAATAAAATATAATCCAAGGAGCACATCAGTCCCAGCAGATGCTTCAAAATGTATAAGAACTTCATAAGACAATAGATTCCATAAAACAAGAGCTCAAAGGTGAGAAAATAAAGTAACTATGTATGAATCGGAAATTGAATTGCTAAAGAAACCAAGCCCCATGACTTACGTATCTAATACATATAGAATATAAGGAACATAGGCCGGGCATGGTGGCTAACCCCTGTAATCCCAGCACTTTGGGAGGCCAAGGCAGGCGGATCACAAGGTCAGGAATTCCAGACCAGCCTGGCCGATATGGTGAAACGCCATCTCTACTAAAAATAGAAAAACTAGCTGGGGTTGGTGGCGGGCGCCTGTAATCCCAGCTACTCGGGAGGCGGAGCTTGCAGTGAGCTGAGATCCGGCCACGGCACTCCAACCTGGGCGGCAGAGCGAGACTCCGCCTCAAAAAAAAAAAAAAAAAAAATGACAGGGGGCCGGGTGCGATGACTCAAGCCGGTGTAATCCCAGCACTTTGGGAGGCCGAGACGGGCGATCACGAGGGTCAGGAGATCGAGACATCCTGGCTAACACGGTGAAACTCTCTCTCTACTAAAATACAAAAAAAAATTAATTAGCCGGGCGAGGTGGCGGGCGCCCTGTAGTCCCAGCTACTCGGGAGGCTGAGGCAGGAGAATGGCGTGAACCCGGGAGGCGGGGCTTGCAGTGAGCTGAGATCCGGCCACTGCACTCCAGCCTGGGCAACAGAGCAAGACTCCGTCTCAAAAAAAAAAAAAAAAAAAATTAGGGAACATAATAGACTTGGCTAAAGATCAAAATACTGGTATAAAGACTTGAGCAAGGGTTCATAATTGTATTTACTATGAGGAGAATTGGTCTCCAAAATAGAGAACCTAATGGATGGATCAGAAACAATATTCAAAGATAAAATTGGGAATTTTTCCTTAATGAAACAAGAACTAAATATGCAAATACTGAAATATGGGGAGTATAGGAATGGTTGGCATTGAGAAACCTAGCCTGGTGGTGGTTTTAAAAATATTGTCAATCTTTTAAATTGTAGCCATTCTAGTAGGTGGTGGTGGTATTTCCTTGTGGTTTGAATTTGCATTTTCCTGATAACAAATGATGTTGAGCATCTTCCCATGTGCTCATTTGGAATCTATGTATCTTCTATAGTGAAGTGTGTCTGTTTACATTTATTTTTCAGCAGCTTTATTGAGGTACAATTGACATACAACAGACTGCCTATTTTTTTTTTTTTTTTTTTGAGACGGAGTCTCGCGCTGTGTCACCCAGACTGGAGTGCAGTGGCGCGATCTCGGCTCACTGCAAGCTCCGCCTCCCAGGTTCACGCCATTCTCCTGCCTCAGCCTCCGAGTAGCTGGGACTACAGGCGCCCGCCACCACGCCCGGCTAGTTTTTTGTATTTTTAGTAGAGACGGGGTTTCACCATGTTAGCCAGGATGGTCTCGATCTCCTGACCTCGTGATCCACCCGCCTCGGCCTCCCAAAGTGCTGGGATTACAGGCTTGAGCCACCGCGCCCGGCCAGACTGCCTATATTTTTACAGTGTGCACTTAGATAAGTTGACATCTGTATACACCCCTGAAATCACAACAGTCAAGACAGTAAACATATTCCTCCCTGCCAGAAGTTTCCTCATACTCCTTTGCAAGTTCTTGCCAACCCTGTCCCGTGCTGCTCCCCCAATCCCCAGGCAACCACTGATCATCTTTCTGTTGCACCTTAGTGCATTTCCTGTGAAAGTATATAAGGTCACGGAATATACTTTTTTTTTGGTCTGGTTTTATTCACTTAGCATACTTCAAGATTCATTCTTATTGCATGTATCAATAGTTCATTCCTTTTGACTACTGTGTCATATTCCATTGTATGGATGTGCCACTATACATTTAGCAGTTGATGGATATTTGGGTTATTTTCCAGTGTTTGGCTATTATAAATAAAGCTGCTATGAACATTTGTTTACATCTCTTTGTAAGACATGTTTTGATTTTGTGGGGGTAGATACCTAGGAATAGAATGGTTGTGTTATGTGGTATATGCATGTTTAACTTGTTAAGAAACAGGCCAAACCATTTTCCAAAGTGGTTATGCCATTTCTGTTCCCACTAGCTGTTTTTTAAGAATTCTACTCCCTGTATATCTTTGCTAATGCTTGGGATGTTCAGTTTTTAATTTTAGCCATTTAAGAAGGTGTGTAGGCCGGGCGCGGTGGCTCACGCCTGTAATCCCAGCACTTTGGGAGGCTGAGGCGGGCGGATCACAAGGTCAGGAGATCGAGACCATGGTGAAACCCCGTCTCTACTAAAAATAGAAAAAATTAGCCGGGCGCAGCGGCGGGCGCCTGTAGTCCCAGCTACTCCGGAGGCTGAGGCAAGAGGATGGCGTGAACCCGGGAGGCGGAGCTTGCAGTGAGCCGAGATTGCGCCACTGCACTCCAGCCTGGGCGACACAGAGCAAGACTCCGTCTCAAAAAAAAAAAAAAAAAAAAAAGAAGGTGTGTAGTGGCATTTATTTTATTGTGGCTTCAATTTGCATTTCCTCAAATGGCAAATGATGTTGAGCATCATTTCAAGTGCTTGTTTTCCATCTCTGTATATCATCTTGGATAAAGCGTCATTCAAATCTCTTGCCATATTGTTTGTGTTTGTGTTACTGAGTTGTAGGAATTCTTCATATGGTCAAGAGTACAAGTCCTTTTTCAATTTAATTTTTTTAGCATTCAAACAGATTCTGACAGATGACTTTAAATTTTGATCAAGTTCAACTTAACAGTTATGATTTTTTTTTAACACGGAATATGCAGTCTCTTTAATCATTGGTATTGTTGGGTTATTTATTTATTTATTTATTTAGAGACAGAGTCTTGCTCTGTTGCCCAGGCTGGAGTACAGTGGCACAATCTTGGCTCACTGCAACCTCTGCCTCCCAGGTTCAGCAATTCTCCTGCCTCAGCCTCCTGAGTAGCTGGGATTACTGGTGCACACCACCATGCCTGGCTAATTTTTTTGTATTTTTAGTAGAGACAGGTTTTGCTGTGTTGGCCAGGCTGGTCTCAAACTTTTGACCTCAGGTGACCCGCCTGCCTCACAAAATGCTGGGATCACAGGCATGAGCCACTGCACCCTGCCATGTTGGGTTAATTTTATTCTGTTATTGTTTCTTCCTCCATTTCTTTTTTCTTTCCTTTTTGTTTTAAAGAGATGGGCATCTCACTATGTTGCCTAGGCTGGTCTTGAACTCCTGGACTCAAGCAATTCCCTCACCTCAGCCTCACAAAGTGCCAGGGTTATAGGCATCTGTCACCACACCTGGCTTTGCATTTGGTGGGGTTTTTTGATTTTGTTTCTGTATTCCTTTTATTGAACCTGCTTGTCGGTGACTTGAGTATTTTTAGTTTGCTATTTTGTTCCCTTTTTTGTCTTTTTTTTTAACTCTTTATGTTGCTTTTTTTTTGTTTTTTTGTTTTGTTTGTTTAGAGATTAGGTCTTGTTCTGCTGCGTAGGCTGGAGTGCAGTGGTGCAGTCATGGCTCACTGCAGCCTCAGACTCCTGAGCCCAAGTGATCCTCCTGCCACACCCTCTAAAGTAGCTGGGACCACAGGCGTGCACCACTATGTCTGGCTGATTTTTGTATAATTATTATTATTATTATTTGAGAAGGAGTCTTGCTGTGTCATCCAGGCTAGATTGCAGTGGAGCAATCTCAGCTCACTGCAACCTCTGCTTCCAGGTTTAAGTGATTCTGCAGCCTCAGCCTCAGCCTCCCCTGCAGCTGGGATTACAGGCACCTGCCACTGTGCCCGGCTAATTTTTGTAGTTTTAGTAGTGATGGGGTTTCACCATGTTGGCCAGGCTGATCTCGAACTCTTGTCCTCAGGTGATTCACCCGCCTCAGCCTCCCAAAGTGCTGGAATTACAGGTGTGAGCCACTGCACCTGGTCTACCTTTTCCACTAGGGTTTTTTGTTTTTTTTTTTTTTACGTATTTTTTATTGGTATTTTAAAGTTTTTGTCTGATAAATTTATCATCTTGTCCATGGGTCTCCTTGCATTAACTTTCTTTATGGGTTAAATTTTCCTGCTTCTTTGCATGTTTAGTAACTTTTAAAATGATTACCAGAAATTATATATCGAAGAACAGTAGTATTGAAGTGAGCTGGATATGGTGGCTCACATTTGTAATCATAGCACTTTGGAAGGCTGAGGTGGGAGGATCACTTGAGGCCAGGAGTTTGAGACCAGCCTGGGCAGTATAGCAAGACCCTGTCTCTACAAAATTTTTTTTTTTTTTTTTTTTTTTTTGAGACGGAGTCTCGCTCTGCCGCCCAGGCTGGAGTGCAGTGGCCGGATCTCAGCTCACTGCAAGCTCCGCCTCCCGGGTTCACGCCATTCTCCTGCCTCAGCCTCCCGAGTAGTTGGGACTACAGGCGCCCGCCACCTCCCCGGCTAGTTTTTTTGTATTTTTAGTAGAGACGGGGTTTCACCATGTTAGCCAGGATGGTCTCGATCTCCTGACCTCGTGATCCGCCCGTCTCGGCCTCCCAAAGTGCTGAGATTACAGGCTTGAGCCACCGCGCCCGGCCAAAATTTTTTTTAAAAACTAGCTGGGTATGGTGATGTGCATCTGTTCCCGGCTACTCAGGAAGCTGAGGTCAGAGGATTGCTTGAGCCCAGGGGGTCAAGGCTGCAGTGAGCTGTGATTGTGCCACTGCACTCCAGCCTGGGCAACAGAAAAGGCTCTATCTAAAAAAAAAAAAAAAAAAAAAAAACAAACCCAAAAACAGAAGTGAATGTTTCCTCCCTCTAAGGCAGTGGTCCCTGACCTTTTTGGCACCAGGGACTGGTTTGTGAAAGGCAATTTTTTCACAGACTGAGGTGGGGGGCGTGGGGCATGGTTTTGGGTTGAAACTGTTCACCTCAGATCATAAGGCATTAGATTCTCATAAGGAGCACGCAACCTAGATCCCTCGCATGTGCAGTTCACAATAGGGTTTGCGCTGCTATGAGAATCTCATAGGGACAAGAGGTGGAGATCAGGTGGTAATGCTCGCTTGCCTGTTGCTCACCTCCTGCTGCATGGCCCTATTCCTAATAGACTACCGACCAGTACTGGTCCATGACCTGGGGGTCCATGGCCTGGGGGTTGGGGACTTCTGCTCTAAGGCATTGCCCCTTCCTCTGTAAGGTCAGTAGTGTGGAGGGCTGATTCCATTTAATCTGCAGTGGAGCTGGGTCTGAACTTTGTCGCAGCTTTACCTAGATTCAATTGAACGTTGACTTTAGTGCCTTTGAGACTTTGAATCGAACACTGACAAGATTTCCAGATATCTTGCTATGCTTTACAGCCATGGTGCTAGGTTTTTGGGCCTTTAGAGGATTTCTGCAAGAAACAAAGAAAGGTTGCAAAGCACGGCCTTAGATGCTAGAATGTGACTTGTGTGGCTCTAATTCGGGGTTCTTTGTTTCCTTGTCCTAGGTATTCCTGGAGTGGAGAGCCACTCTTTCTGACCTGCCCTACATCAGAAGTCACCGAGCTTCCAGCCTGCAGCCAGTGTGGAGGCCGAAGGATATTTGAGTTTCAGCTTATGCCAGCACTGGTCAGCATGCTCAAGAGTGCTAATTTAGGTGAGAAGCCTAAATTAATTTGAGTTTGTGGATTTCTGGCATTATTTTTAAATAAATGAAAAACCTTTTGTTTACTTATGAAATATCATAAGCAAATTATAGAAAATTTGGGAATTAAAAAATTATTTTAAGAAATTTAGGCCAGGTGTGGTGGCTCATGCCTGTAATCCCAGCACTTTGGGAGGCCCAGGTGGGCGGATCACGAGGTCAGGAGATCGGGGCCTTCTTGGCCAGTGTGGTGAAACCCTGTCTCTACTATAATATAAAAAATTAGCTGGGCATGGTGGCATGTTCCTGTAGTCCCAGCTGCTTGGGAGGTTGAGGTGGGGAATCACTTGAACCCAGGAGGTGGAGGTTGCAGTGAGCCAAGATCGCGCCAATGCACTCCAGCCTGGTGACAGAGCAAGACTCTGTCTCAAAAAACAGAAAAAGAAATTTGTAATCCAGCCAGTCTTTTTTTTTATATATATATATTTATTGATTTATTTATTTTTTGAGATGGAGTCTCTCTCCTGTTGCCTGGGCTGGAGGGCAGTGGTACGTTCTTGGCTCACTGCAGCCTCTACTTCCCGGGGTCTAGCAATTCCCCTCCCTCAGCCTCCCCAGTAGCTGGGATTACAGGTGTCCACCACCATGCCCGTCTAGTTTTTGTATTTTTAGTAGTGATGGGGTTTCACTGTGTTGGCCAGGCTGGAATTTGCATTTTTTGTAGAGACAAGGTTTCGCCATGTTGCCCAGGCTGGTCTCGAACTCCTAGACTCAAGCGATCCTCCTGCCTTGGCCTCCTAAAGTGATTACAAGCATGAACCATGCTTGGCCAGAAATTACAACTATTATCAATGTTAATAACCATTATTCCAATAATCATTTTTGACTTAAAGACAAACAGCAAGTTAGATGAATGTATGGATGGCTAGATGAAAATAATTTTCCTAAAATAGGGAAATTCACTAACATGGTAATTAAAAGTCTTAGAATAAATTTTTGTACAAATTAACAGAAGGAATGTTAAGTATAAGTGAAGCAGTTACTGGAATTTTTCTGAGACGGAGTCTCGCTCTGTTGCCCAGGCTGGAGTGCAGTGGCACGATCTCCACTCACCGCAAGCTCCGCCCACTGGGTTCACGCCATTCTCCTGCCTTAGCCTCCCTAGGAGCTGGGACTACAGGTGCCCACCACCACACCCAGCTAATTTTTTTTTTTTTAGTAGAGACAGGGTTTCACCGTGTTAGCTAGGATGGTCTCGATCTCCTGATCTCGTGATTTGCCCGTCTTGGCCTCCCAAAGTGCTGGGATTACAGGCATGAGCCACCGCGCCTGGCCTGGACTTTTGGTAATAGGTTCTTTACCCAAGAGGCCCAAGTTTCTGAAAGGTGCTTCTGTTGTTAACAGAAAATTACATTCTTCTATGTTTCAGTTTTAGATAGTATGCATCTGGCACGTTACCATAGTAGATAAGGAAATTCATACCCTATTCCTACCTTGAAATATTTCAGTATCTTTTTTTTTTTTTTTTTTGAGACGGAGTTTCGCCCAAGTTGGAGTGCAGTGGCGCACTCTCAGCTCACTGCAACCTCTGCCTCCCAGGTTCAAGTGATTCTCCTGCCTCAGCCTCATGAAGAACTGGGATTAAAGGTGCCCACCACCACACCCAGCTAATTTTTTGTACTTTTAGTAGAAACAGGTTTCACTGTTGTTGACCAGGCTGGTCTCAAACTCCTGACCTGCCTCGGCATCCCAAAGTGCTTGGATTATAGGCATGAACCACCACGCCCGGACCCAGTATCTTTTTTTTCCTTTTTGAGACGGAGCCTCAATCTGTAGCCAGGCTGGAGTGCAGTGGCACTGTCTTGGCTCACTGCAACCTCTGCCTCCCAGGTTCAAGCGATTCTCCTGCCTCCGCCTCCCGAGTAGCTGGGATTATAGGCGCCCACCACCACACCCTGCTAATTTTGTATTTTTAATAGAGATGGGGTTTCGCCATCTTGGCTGGTCTCGAACTCCTGACCTCAAGTGATCTGTCCACCTTGACCTCCCAAAGTGCTGGGATTACAGGCATGAGCCACCGCGCCCAGCCAGTATCATAATTATCACAGCTGTTTGGATAGCCTTAATTCTATGTGTAAATGGATTCAGTGTTCATCACCACTCTTACAATGAGCTTTTTTATTCCTGTTTTATTTTGATTCTTTTTTCAGTAGCTGGATTTTCTCAAGTAATAGCTTTTAGGAGGGCTCAGAAGTGCCTTGCTTCAGATTGTGCACGGTAATGTGGCTTCATATTTGAGGGGCAACCCATGTATAAAATTTTTAAATCCCACTTTCTCTTTTCAGAACCTTGTAGACCCCTGTGTTGTCTTCTGACAGTGAAAGCCCTGCCAGCCATTGCCCTGGTGCCTCCTGTCATCTGGTGGTTCAGTCTCACTGGGAAATATATTTTTCTGGAAGGGCTTATGGGCATTCTGATCTCTGAGATTTTTCACTTATATAGAAATGTCTTTTGCATGGAATGTAGCTTTGTAGAGGTATGAGGGTGGTCTGATTTTTCCCCCCTTTGTAACTAACATTTTTGCCACAATACTGTTAGCAGTGGCAAATCTGTAGGGGTCTGTAGCAACCTCAGTTCTTGCCTCCTTAGAAGAAAGAATTTGACTGAGGCACTTAAGACAGAGGAGAGACCAAAGCAAATTTTAGAGCAGGAGTGAAAACTTATTAAAAAGTTTTAGAGCAGGAACGAAAGGAAGTAAATACAGTTGGAAGAGGGGGCCAAGCAGGCAACCTGAGAGATTGAAGTGTCCATTTTTGACCTTTGACTTGGGATTTTGTACTTCCCGGGTCTTGTGTTACTTCTCTTGTTTCTTCCCTTGGGATGGGCATAGTGGCCCGCCAGCACTTGGGAGGGGCCGCATGCGCAGTGTGTTTACTGGAGTTGTAGACATGCTCACTTGAGGCGATTTTCCCTTACCAGTCACATTCTCCTAGAAGAAGGTCATATACCAGTTAATAAACTCTGCCATTTTTTCATTTTTTTTTCTTTCGTTTTTTGAGAGAGTCTTGCTCCATTGCCCAGTGGCACTATCTCTCCTCTCTGCAACCTCCACCTCCCAGGTTCAAGCAATTCTGCCTCAGCCTCCCAATGTGCTGGGATTATAGGCCTGAGCCAATATGCTGTGCCCAGCCAATGCATACATTTTTAAACAACGTATTTCTCCTTTGCTGCTGCAAATCATTGCCTACGTCATCCTTTTGACTCCTGCTTTTCTGTTCTAATATCATCGGGAGTTCTTATTGCTTATGTTTTCTTGGTATGCTTTTTTTTATGGCTTTATTCATTGATAATTTTCTATAAACTCTTAGGGTTTTTTTTTTTCTTTCTTTCTTTTTTTTTTTTTTTTGCCTGAATCCTTATCCTTTTTGGCAGTAGTGTGTTCTTAATGATATATATATTTCTTTTTTTTTTTTTTTTTTTTGGACCACGAGTCTCGCTCCATCGGGCCAGGTGGAGTGCCGTGGGCCGGATCTCAGCTCACTGCAAGCTCCGCCTTCCGGTTCACGCCATTCTCCTGGGCCTCAGCCCTCCGAGTACTGGGACTATAGGCCGCCCGCCACCTCGCCTCGGCTAAGTTTGTACTTTTTTTAAGTAAGGGGGGTTTTTTCATCTGGCCCGTGTTAGCCGGATTGGGTTCGATCTTCTGACCTTGTATCCGGGCCCGTCTCGGCTCCCAAAGTGGCTGGATTACAGGCTTGAGCCACTGCGCCCGGCCATATATTTCTCTTTTATTTTATTTTATTTATTAATTTTTTAAAGACAGGGTCTCCTCTGTCACCACGGCCAGAGTATGGTGGGACGATCATAGGCTCATTGCAGCCTTTATCTCCTGGGCTCAAGTGATCTTCCTACCTTAGTCTCCTAAGTAGCTGGGACTACAGGTGCGCACCATTACACACAGTGAATTTTTTTTTTTTTTTTAGTAAAGTCCTCACTCTGTCAACCAGGCTATATGAATATATATAGTATATATATTTTTTTTTTCCTTCCTTCTTAAACCTTTTTTTTTTTTTTTTGTAGAGACAGGTGTCTCACTATGTTGCCTAGGCTGGGCTCCAGCTATCCTTCCCCGTCGGCCTCCCAAAATGCAGGGAACTCAGGTGTGAGCCACCACACCTAGCCAAAGGCTCTGTGATATATTTTAATATAGATTTTCAACATCAGATAGCTAGACAGTTGTGATGAACACTTGTTGAAATTTTTGTTTATTTTTAAAGTACATTTTCCTTCCACTTTAAATTAATTCTGCTTTTTGTTATCAATATTCACTTATTATAGGATAGACTGTGATTCTGTTATAGCTGAAAGCAGTAAGCACTGTTTTTGCTTTACCTAATTATTTTTTCAGCTTGTAAGGTAAAATCACTCCTTTTAGTAACATCAGTCTCATAACTCTTTTTGCTGGAAGCCTGAATACATTGTATTTTTCAGGTCTTTCTGTGGAATTTGGAACAATTCTAGTTTACACATGTGAGAAGAGTTGCTGGCCCCCAAATCATCAGATCCCCATGGAAGAATTTTGTATTATACAAGAAGACCCAGATGAATTATTGTTTAAGAGCACTTCCTTTTATTAATATAAATTAAAATAATTTTTATGTTCAAGTATGTGTGTATGTACCTTATTTTAACTTGCAAGTTATTAACCTCTGTTTTTCTGAGTTGCTTTTTGCCTTTGGGTGCTGGTGCCTGGGCTGGGGCTGGGCCAGGACCTCCTGACTGTGGGTTGGTCTGCCCTTCCAGGGTCCAGGGCCAGCTGTCACAGTGGCAGCTGGGAAGGTAGCTCCTCTCTAGTCCAGAGGGCTAGTGTTGCCGGCACAGCCATCCTGGTGGGCATTCTAGTGGGGAGGGAGAGCAGCAAAAGAGCCAAGAGCAGTGGTCTGCCTCTTGTTTACACCTCTGACACCTGCACTCCAGTGCGCCCTATGCTATTTTTGGCACCTGATCAAGCCACTGAACCTGCTCTAGCTGCTGGAGGTTCTTGCTCTGTGACCCTGGCTGTTTAGACCTGCCCATGTTCATCAGCCCAGGTCCCTGCCCTCACCCACTCCCACCTTCTCCTCCTGTCGCATCCCAGGAAGGGGTCTTTACTCCGTTCTGGAGACTGTCCCTTTATCCAGCTGCCTTCCAGTCTCCCTTTTCTTTATTTTTAACATGATCAACCCCTTCCCTTCTTCAGCCCTGTAACAGCAGTATAAAAACACTCCCAGCCATGTTCAGACATGCTCTGCCTGTGTAGATAAGGATAATGAGGCCCAGGTGATCATGGGGTGGGCTTGTCTCTTACATTTAACATTATATTTGGAGCATTTTCCCATTAATATTTTTCCCACAACATAATTTATAATTGCTGTATTTGAAAAATATACATCAAAAGCTTTACACAATTTTTAGTCACTTGTTTTTTCCAAATTTTATTCCCATGATGGCCATCCCTATAGCTTAATTTATTTATTTATTTATTAAATCAATGATAACTGCTACAGGACAGTTTTCTATAATTGGAATGAATGAGTCGAAAGTTGTGCACAATTTTAGGGTTTTTCTTTTTTTTTTTTTTGAGACAGGGTCTTGCTCTGTCTCTCTGGCTGAAGGGCAGTGGTAAAGTCATAGCTCACTGCAGCCTCAACCTCTCAGGCTTGAGTGATCCTCCTGCCTCAGCCTCCTGAGTAACCAGGATTACAAGTACAAGCCACCATACCTTCTAGAGAAGCTTTGCTTTGGAATCCTTACCTGGAGTGTGTGAGAGTGCTTGTTTCCCAATACCTTGTTAAGTGTTACTTGTTTTTTCTTTCTACCAGTTTAGTAGGTGAAAAACTTTTTTTTTTTTTTAAGACAGAGTCTTGCTCTATCGCCCAGGCTGGAGTGCAGTAGTGCGACCTCCGCCTCCTGGGTTCAAGCAATTCTCCTGCCTCAGCCTCCTGAGTAACAGGCTTGTGCCACCACGCCCAGCTGGGTTTTTTTTTTAAGACAGTCTGTTGCCCAGGCTGGAGTGCAGTGGCATGATCTCAGCTCACTGCAACCTCCGCCTCCTGGGTTCAAACAATTCACCTGCCTCTGCCTCAGCCTCCCCCTCCCGAGTAACTGGGATTACAGGCCCACGCCACCACGCCTGGCTAATTTTTGTATTTTTAATAGAGACTGGGGTTTCACCATGTCAGGCTGGTTTTGAACTCCTGACCTCGTGATCCGCCCGCCTCAGCCTCCCAAAGTGCTGGGATTACAGGCGTGAGCCACCGCGCCCGGCAGGTGAAAATCTTACCATTGTGCATGGTTTACATTTTGTTTTGTTTTGTTTTTTGAGACGGAGTCTTGCTCTGTTACCTAGGCTGGAGTGCAGTGGCACGATCTTGGTTCACTGCAACCTCCACCTCCAGGGTTCAAGCAATTCTTTTGTGGTTTACATTTTAATACGCTTATTGATCATATTGTCCAATTTTTTGTGAGTTTCCTGTTCACATCCTTTGCCTGTATTTTTTGGGGGGTGACCCTTGTTAATTTGTAAGAGCTCCTTACATATAGGGACATCAGTTTTCTAACCTGTAAGGAAGTCTTGGCTGGGAGTTGAAACCCCAGGCTAGAAGGCGACCCCTGGACTTTTTAGGTCTCATGGCAGGCCTATGCTGGTGTGGGAATAACACCACCGGTCTCAGCGGGAGGTCGCCAGCCCTTAGCAAGTGCCGGCTCGCCCCGGCGGGCTGCCGCACATCCCCGCGCACTGGGCCCCGCCTGTCTGCTGGGAGGCCGTAGTGCGCAGGAGCGGAAACCGGGCCGCCCTTCCCCCACCCGCTTCCGGCCGCGACTTGGTTCTCCCGCCTCCGCCTCCGCCGCGGCTCGTGGTTGTCCCGCCATGGCACTGTCGCGGGGGCTGCCCCGGGAGCTGGCTGAGGCGGTGGCCGGGGGCCGAGTGCTGGTGGTGGGGGCGGGCGGCATCGGCTGCGAGCTCCTCAAGAACCTCGTGCTCACCGGTTTCTCCCACATCGACCTGGTGAGGGCCGGGCACGCGCGGGTGAATGGCGGGCTGTGGTGCGGGGGCTGGAGTTCGGGGGTTCCGGGGCTCGAGGGGCTCAGAGGCTCAGGGCCAGGAGCCCAGGACCGGAGCTGCGGGGCGGGGGCAGGCTGAGAGCCCCGGGTTGTGGCCCCCCGCGGGAGGGGACTGTTCTTTGGGCACGGGGCGGGCCTCCGCTCCCTGGGCCGGCTCCGGACGCAGAGGAGGCCGCGGGCCCCCGCCTCCCCGGCATCGCCAATGTGTGGCGCTTCGAGGGCGTGAAGCCGCCTCGTATCCTCCCTTCAAAACAAATCCATGGGTGTTAGGAGATGCGGGAGAGGACTGAGTCCCTCGCGGATGTTGTGACTTTAATTTGGAGGTCCCCTTCCTAACTCCGAAGTAACGACCCGGGGCAGAGGATGGCGATGATAGCGACCAACGCGTCCCAAGCGCTGGTCACCAGAAGGTTTACACACGAAACGCGCTCCATCTTCACACCACCCGAGGAGTGCAACGCTATTTCCACTCTGCTTTATTTTTAACAGATGAGGAAAGGGAGACGCAATGGGGTTGAGTAACTTACCCTGGGTCTCGGAGCGAGTGGCAGGGCTCCCGCGGGCTGCGTGACTGTCATTGCTCTCACAGTAGACGGTACACTGGCTTGTTTCATTAAAGACATTAGAATTGTGCCCTTTGCATTGGTGTACAGTGACAAGCCAGTGCTATTTGGAATCAAGTTATTTGTACTAATGCAAACTTTTTAGAGTTTGGAGATGTTACTGGCCCTTGGGTGTGTTAAAGTGTCTTAAGGGCTAGTAGAAACATGGAATGAACAAAAAAGTACAGATGGCCGACTGAATCATTGTTTCTTTCCTTTATATATTATGTATTTAACCAAAAATAAAACTTATGACACTTTTTTAACCATGTGGAAAAGTTTCCTTTCACATTTCTTAGGTTAATTAATAGTAAATGAAATTGTGTATGGATGAAGG